CTTTATTACTTAGGAAGGCACCTTTGTCTTTATTGATTTTCACCTCTATTTCCTGTCCTCCCCCAAGTATTTGTAGCTTCTGAACACAGAACTTTACTACACCCTATATTGTCTCTACATTGCCGATGACATATTATACAGAAAACCTTAAAGACTTCACAGAAAATCTGTTAGAACCAATCAATAAATACAGTAAATTTGCAGATAAAACATCAATGTATAAAAATCTGTTGTGTTCCTATACACTGATAATTAACTATCAGAAAGAGAAATTAAGAAAATACTCTCATTTACAATAGCATCAAAAAGAATAAAATATTTAGGAATAAATTTACCAAGGAAATGAGCAGTGTATGCACTGATAATTTGACATTGATAAAAGACATTGATAAAAGAAATTGAAGAAGACACAAATAATTGGAAACATATTCTATGTTCATGGAATGGAGGAGGTAATATTATTAAAATATTCATGCTACCCAAAGTAATTACAAATTCAATTTAATAGCTATCAAAACTCTAACAGCATTTTTTACAGAAATAGGATCAAAAACCCTAAATTTGTATGCAACCACAAAAGACACTAAACAGCAGAAGCAATCTTGAGCAAGATATTGAAGGCTGACATCACATTTTCCGATTTCAAACAGCATTACAAAGCTGTTGAATTAAAACCAGTATGGTGTTGGTGTAAAAACTGACACATAGGTCAATGGAACAGAAAAAACCCAGGCATTATGGTCAGTTAATTTATAACAAAGGAGTCAATAATATAATATACAATGGGGAAAAGGACCATCAGCCTTTTCAATAAACAGTGCTAGGAAAACTGGATATCCACATACACAAAAACGAAGTTAGACCATTAACTTATATCATAAACAAAAAATCAACTTGAAGATTGATTAACTTGAAGACAAGACCTGCAGAAAATTCCTATAAATTCATATAAAAAATAAAATTTTTTTATTCCTATAAGAAAATTCCTATAAGAAAACTTAGGAGATAAACTCTTTGACAGCAGTCTTGCTAATGAATTGTTAGATGTGACAGCAAAAACAAAGGCACAAAAGCAAAAATAAACAAGCAGGACTATATCAGACTAGAAAGTTTCTGCTCAAGAAATGAAACCATCAATAAAATGAGAAGGAAACCTATGGAAGGAAGAATATTATTTAAACACATATCCCAGTGTTCATTAGAAGACATAGAGGAGGAATTCATACCACTTAAGAGGAATAAAAACATTAAAACATGGACAAAGGACCCAAATAGTCATTTTTTGAAAGAAAACATTCAAACATACAAAGTATATGAAAAGTTCATTATCACTAATTGTCAGGAAAATACAGATCAAAACTACAATAAGATATAACCTTATATCTGTTGGGATGGTTATTGCACAATATACAAGAGATAACATTTGCTGTCAATTATGTAGAGAAAAGGGAACCCTTTGGTGGGATTGTAATTTGGTGCAGCCACTATGGAAAACAGTATGAAGGTCCCTAAAGAAATTAAAACTAGAACTATCACATGATTCAGCAATCCCACATCTGGGTCTATACCCCAAAGAAAATACTATTATCTACAAGGGATATCTGCACTTGCATGCTCATCATAGTATTATTCACAATAGTGCTGGTATGGAAACAAACCAAGTATCCCTGAACTGATGGATGCATCAAGGAAATGTGATATATACAAACACATACACATCATGGGATATATTATTATCAACCTTATAAAGAAAGAAATCCTGCCATTTACTATAGCATATATGAATATGATGGGCATTATACCAAGTGAAATAAGACAAACAGAGAAACACAAATGCACTTATATAAAAGAAGGAGATATAGTTGAACTTGTAGAAACAGTAGAAAAAGAGGTTTCCAGGGGCTGGGGGAATAGGGTCAATTTGGTAAAAGCATAAAATTTCAGCAATAAGTTGAATAAGGTCAGAAAAATCTAACCAATAATATGGTGACTATAGTTGGTAACACTATATTTAATAGTTGAAACTTGCTGAGACAATGGAATTTAAATATTCCCACCAAAAGAAAAGGAAATATGTGAGGTAATGGATGTGTTAATTAACTTGACAGGTGGAATCTTTTCATAGTGCATATCAAATCATCATGTTGTAAACTTTAAAAATCTTATAATTTTATGTCAATTATACCTTTATAAAGCTGAAAAATTCATTTGAACTCTAGGCAAAAAAATTGATGCATTTTGTATAAAAATTATACTTCAATTAAGTTGATTTTTGATAAGCCACAAAAAATGTTCAGAGGAGACTAATACACATCCATGTACATACCACTCAGGATAAATAAATATTAAACATTTTGTCACTTGCTTGATCTTTTTTCATATGAAATATTACAGATAAAAGTGAAGTCAAGTTAATTCCCAGATCTATTTTCTACCCTTTCCCATGGCAAACACATTAATAACACATTGTGTGTTTCATGTCTTCCCATTTAAAAAATGAATTCACAAACATGTTCGTTTTATTGATGAAAATACCAAAGCTTCACAAGAAGTATTGCACAGGCCATAGTGAAACACTGAGTCAGCAAGCAGCATAGCTGGTTATGACTGTCTCAGGTTTATGCTCATTCCCTAGGGCTATGTTACCTAATCTGTGCTTGAGGAATTGCTAATGCATTTTAGGTAATTATGAGGATGTTTATTCTGCTCTTGTCCTGGGTTTTAAACATGACTATAGTGTAGCACAAATTTAGCATATTATGATCTTTCTCATTTAAGGTGGACTGTGTGAAAACTTTGAATGGAAGATTAATGTGATTTTTAAAATCAATATATTTATTTGATACAGTTTACGTGCAACTAAGCCAGAATACAGATATTTCTGTATTTCCTTCTAATTTTGCCATAGAGATTACTAGATCATTTTCAAAGCAGCTAACACCATTGACTCTCAGTGCTTTCAAGTCCAATTAGCTGACTGCATTGAACTCTTTTACATTGGAGGGGTTCAGAACATGTCACCACCAAATATGCCCCTTTGGCATATTGATTATTTCGAGTTGAGGGCACTTGAAAAACTGCAGATGCAGGAAGCGCTCGCTGACCTCTCCCATTCTACCTAAAAATAGGTGGTAAAATTCCCCATGTAAAGGATACCCTGCTTGTACCAGGAAAAGACGTTTCTTCCTCTCAATTTTGTTGAGATAGAATTGAATTTAACATTGGGTAAGTTAAGGGTACAACATAGCAATTTGACATATGTGTATGATGAAATCTGGCCCATCCATCACCTGGGAAGACTGTTGCTACCACCAGAGACTGGTTGTGGACATCAGAACAGACCTGCACAAACAAACCTAGTGTGGACCAAGAAAATGAAATTCTACATTGTTGCTCTGTTGAAAAATGTTCTACTCTGTCCTGCCAGGGCCACCTCAAGAGGGTGGAGTTAGCTTGTTTGCTGTGAATACTCCTGTGGTGACAAGCAAAGGAAATGACCAAAAAGTCCACATCCGGAGCCCCTTCATGTCTGTAAGTTGCAGGGAAAAGGAGCTTGTGGTATCTGCACCCTGCATCTCTAAGAATACTTTGAGGATAGGAGACGCAAATAGCCTTTAGTCTTTACATCTTCCCAAACACAGATAGCTCTGATTGAATTAGTTCTGTAGATCAATGGATGGGCTTTGAAGTTAGAAAGTGTTTCTCCTTTACTGATTGAGTATGTTAGGCTCCAACTGTAACAGGGTGGTCCCCAGGAAAGAGAGAGGTTCCAGGTTTCCTGCCCCACCCAACACAACCTCCTTTAACTAACTGAAAATGTTAGAATTAATTTGATGTTTTCTTTTCTTTGTTAGGAAAAAAAACGTGGATCCTTCCTGTCCATGTAACTTCCCTATGTAAATTGAGGATAAAAACTTTCAGGGCAGTCATCAGTGAAATCTGGTATTGGTGTCCCAGGTTTCCTTCCTCGGTTTGGTTTTGATGTCTTTTCATAAACTTTCTGTATTACTAAACTTGGAATTTGCTTATTTGGGGCTTCATTTTCCTTCTGAAGATGCCTATGTACATGTAAAAATACAAAATAATTTTGTGTGCTTTTCTCCTGTTAATCTGTTCTATGTCAGTTTAATTTTTAGGCCAGTCACAGAACCTAAGAAGATAAGAAGGAAGTTTTTCCTGCTCTACTAAATAAGTATAAGAAAATTACAGGTGCTGATTTAACCTTGACCTTTGTTTTGGTTTTTCTTTATTCTCATCCATCTTCCATATAATCAAAATTTCCCTGCTCAGCTCTAATGTTTATATTTCAAATACTTCTAGACTGGGGGAGAGAAAACAGTAGGCTGTTTTGAAGTATGTTGAAATAATGAAGTTAATAATTTCCATGTGTAATTTTTCTGAAAAGTCGTAGATACATTTCTCTCAAAGAAGATACTATTTTGGTTTTCACTAGCAGAATAATTTGGTTTTGCTTCTTAAAAATTATTTTGACAAAAAAATTCTTTTATTTATAGGAGAAGCAACAAAAACCAGTTGTGAACTTGCTTAAATTCACAATGCAAGCTGGAGTATTTTTTCTTTTAAAGATTTATTTTTATTTATTTATGCATACAAGAACTGGGGTATAGTCCAGAGGTTGGATGGGTGAGAGGATTCCCGAGAGACAGAGTGGGGAGCAGAGCAGGTGGATCTACTGAAACAGACTGCTGAGGGGAGCAGCGGGCAAGACAGGAGAACTCCTGTGTGCCATGTGGGTCAGCTCCCTGGCTGGGGATCAAACTCCTGTAGCAGTGGCTGGTGACAGCTTGATAGCACTGAGACTTTAATCCCTGTGCTACCAGGGAGGCCCAGGAGTATTTCTTTTAATCCTCTAGAATATGAAAGCTGGATCTTCATTTGTTGTCACTTTAGAAATGTCTTCAAATTTCATTGGCCATTGCTTTACATATCACAATGGAGGCTAAGTCTGTCCCTGAGAGCAAGTCCAATATCATCATATTAGCAACATATTGTAGTGTCATTCTGGGATGGGCACAAGAGGATTATGAATGTTACTCACCCAGTGATGTGTTCTCTTTGTGAACAACATTTGATAATTGTAAAGATGACTCATCAGACTAATAGTGCCGAAGGACACTGTTGGGTCACTGGTAACCAGGGACAGAAGGGACTCTTCTCTTGGTGCTACAGAAGATGAAGGACTCCACTTTACTGTGGAGAAATATGACAACCTAAGAATGGAGAGAACAGAGGTTCTGATGATCTACAGTTGATGGTGGAGGGTACAGAATTTTACTGAACCACCCTTGGTTTTCAGAAAACTAACAGAAGGTAATACATGGAGAGCAGTAACTGAAATGCAGCTGGGAAGAGAGCTCTGAAACATTTGCTTTGGAACATTTACTAGTGACCTTTAGGTAAGGAATATAGGTGAAGCCAGTTATGAATGCCCTCAGATCAGGGATGATGCCAACATCTTCATTAGCTTAGAAGGTGTTTCAGTACTTTGAGGAAAGAGTGTGGTTTATTTCATCATTGTGAGAATCAGGACCTGGCAAGTTGTGATCTGGGAATGGGATCAAGGTGACAGAGAATGAAAGGTAAAATCTTGGTGGGAAAATGATAAGGCTTTCTCACACACTAGATGTTCCTGAGGAAGCTTCTAAGAGTAAAGCAGTTTGTCAAAGCCAAAAATTTGAAAGGATGCAGAAGAGATTTGAGATCCATGAAGAATCTTTTTTTAAAAAAATTGTCTTTAGTAGATCCCTTATTAAACCCGAAGCTTTTACATATACAAATGAGATTCTTCCCATTTTTGCTATACGTGAGTTGGTATATTTGCCATTCAAAGATGCCTGGATTCTGCTTCTGATGTGCTGAGGAAGTGTATGGTTGTCTTCCTTGATTTCAATCTCAAAAAACTGTTTTTACCTTTAAATGCAGAAGATATTATTCCTATGTCTTTCACAATTTTCATATAAATTTAAAAAAAGGTAATTAACATTTCCAATGTAAACTTGGAAGGGAATTAGTTCCTGTAAACTTAGTTCTGATAATTTTACTTATATTAATGCAACCTCTTTCAAGCTTAATGGGATGGCCTTAGTTCTAAAATATCAGTATTGTCATCTTACTCATACCTTTTATTATTTCAGTAACTTTTTTAAAAAGATTTATTTAGTTATACATACAAGAATTGGGGTACAGGCCAGAGTTGTGGGGGTGGGGGTGAGAGGATTCACCAGAGACAGAGTGGGAAACGTACCAGGCAGATCTACTGAGGTACACTGCTGAGGGGAGCAGTGGGGCAGGAGAGGTCTGCTGCACCATGTGGGTCGCTCCCTGGCCAGGGATCAAACTCCTGCTGCAGTGGCTGCGGACAGCTTCATAGGTTGCCTTTTAACCCCTTGCGCCACCAGGGAGGCCCCCTATTTCAGTAACTTTAATCACTTCTTAGAATTTATACTTCCAGACAGAATTCTCTAATTTTTTTGTATTTTCCTCATATATCATATCCCAGGCGCACTGATATGAGATCTGAAGCTTATCCTAGCATCTTGTTTTTTGTAATGGCAATGGTAACTAACACTCAGGGATCCTTGAAATCTTATGAATTTCCTTTGATCAACATGACTTTTGACAGTTGAGGCAATACCCCTTCAGAGTGTGATAAAGTCCTCTTAGAAATGAATGTGAAGAAAACATTTATTTCTATGCAGAGGAACTCCTATACTTCCTTTTCTTACCTACAGGAAAAGTTTGTGACCAAACCTATTCTCAGTTCCTAATAAGTCAAAGCTCTATTGTAGAAAATCACCCCTTCTGCGTAGACGGACAAAGTACTTGATGTAGAATTAGTTTCTGATCTGTCATCAAATTATACACATTTTAAGTCATTCTAAATTATATGCATTTTAAGGTATTGGTCTCACGCGTTTTGTTCTTAGACGCACTGGGGCATAAACCACAATACCATAGGGTAATAAAACGTAAACGCTATTGTTTTGGTTGACTAATGCTTTCGGATTTATTTCCTAAGCCCTCTCAGGCGACGCCTAGCAGTATACAGGCGGTTGGCACGAACGCCCCAACGAGCCAAAACCCTAAATTTTGGCTTCCGCCCAAGGTGAGTAAACCCGTATCCATAGAAACTGGGAAGCGCGTTCCCCCAAGCAGGACGGCCCCCGCCTCTTCAAATCTAAACGATTCCACTTATTGGTGTGAGGAAAAAAACAAAGGGGATTTATGCGAGCGTCCGCCGAGCGCTGCTCCTCTCGGTCCCCAGAAGCCAGCGCACTGGTGTCTCCCGAGCCGCAACTCCCAGGATGCCTTCAGCCCCACAGCGGTCTGAGGGGCAGCTTCCGGTTTAGGCCAGCGCGGCTGCGCAAGAGCCCTGCTCTTATTGGTCCGAATGGCCTCGTGCGATCTACGTCACGGCGACGCGCGGTCGTGGGGGCGGGAAGACGCGGCGGTGCGGTCGCGGTCGCGGCGCAAGCACGATCCGGGACGCGGCTCGGCGGCGGCGGCGACACCGGGCTGGGCCCCCTCCCTCCTCCGCTCCCCCCTCCTCCCCCTCCCCTCGGCCGTGGCTCCCGGTGGAGTCGGAGACGCGCGACGCGGCGGCGACAAGTTCCGGGTGAGGGTCTCTGGAGGGTGAGCCGGTTGCTGGGGCGCAGAGGGGAGCCGGGCTCGGGAGGGCTGAGGGGCCGCCGTCCCGGGCGCGGGCCGGGGAGCGCGCGCTCGCCCCGGCGCGAACTTGGCCTCCGGACGCGACCCGCTGCCCCGCACCGTGGGCCGTGCGGGGGCCGGGGGGCCCGGCCGGGAGCGGCCTGGAGCCGCTGTCACCGGAGCCCGGCGCCCCTCGGGCCGCCGGCCCCCCTGAGCCCGCCGGGCCGCGCGCCCCCCGGCGGGCAGGTGCCCTTCCCGGCTGCCCGAGAGCCTCTGCCCGCCCTTTCTCCGTTCCCGTCTCTGATCACTTCTAGGAATTTCTTGGGTGCCAGGTTTCCTGTGGGTTCTGCTCAGTCCCACTCTGACGGTGCTGGGGTTCAGGGGGACTCGCCTCACCTTTTTTTCAGGGGGCGCTTCGGGCAGCCCACTCGGGGTGCAGCCCCCCGGGGCCCTGTTTGTCCAAGACCCGTTTGACTTTTCGTCCGTCGGCGTTTGCTGCTTATGAAGCTGCCGGTGCTAAGGTGCAGGGAACCAGGTTTTAGGGGCCTGGAGAGAGGCTGGATTGGGAACTGGAAGGTACTTTTTTTCCCTCCTCCTCGCTTTTGACCTTATTAATGTGGAATCTGACAACTTGATGAGATGGCCCAGCTGTATTTGGTTTGTATTTCAAACGTCCAGCTGGGACTTTACCGGGTCTGTCGAGTTCATTGCAGGTTGGCGTTTTTCTTGTAGCAGAATGGTCTTCTAGTGTTTTTATTTGTGGACTTTTGGATTCTTCAGCCTTCTGTTTTTCCCATCTTACCTCTTTCCTAACTCCAAAAAACCATTAAACGCTCCAGGAAATCTTCATTACATTTAAGGCCATTTGATCACAAAACTCTACCCAGGAAAATGTCAGAAATAGTTTTCTTCAACCGAAAGAAAGCTTTCTGTTTTGGAGGGAATGCGCAGACTTCCTGAATTTCGAAGTTTGACGTGTCCTTTTATCAAGGCCACCGTTATGTCTCCTTTCATTTTTACTCTGTTAGAATTTCATAAATATTTCATAGAAATGAAATCTTGATCACTAATTTTTATTTCACGGAAATTTCCTTTCTAATGCTGTTAGTAGTTCTTAGATGTTTTCATCCTTTCTCCCAAGTCTGTCAAGAATGCTCATGTATGGTTGGTGTTTAATGAAGTCATTTTCTATTGCTTGGGACTTCCACACAGATGGTGGCAGCTGCTTGGTGGTGAATTATGAAATTTGAAATTATTTCAAATTGTTTTAAATGCAGAGGCATACATATATGGTCAGCTCCCATTTATAAGTGCTTTCCTACCAGTATACCTTTCACTCTAGACTTGGTTTACTTAGTAGCAAATTTTCTCATGGAGGCCCTAGGTATGAGAGTTGGATTTCCAGATCCTAAAAAGAGAGCTTGAGTTTTTCTATCCTTAGACTCTTATGCATTAAGAAATAAACTTTTTGAATATCAATAGTATCAATTTAGCTGATGCACTTTGTTATGTATAAATTATATTTTGTTTTCCAAAATGGAAATGATCTTGTTTTGTGCTTTATTTCAGTGGTTGGCAAATTTTACAGCGGTGGACCAAGTCCTGCCAGCTGCCTGTTTTTGTAAATTTAATTTTTAGGGGGATGTAATTGTGTACATTCATTTAGGTATTCCCTGTAGTTGCTTTTGTGGTACATTGCTAGAGCTGAGTAGTTGTCACAGAGACCCACTTGGCGGCAAAGCTTATAATGTCGGTATTCCCTGTCTGACCTCTAATAGAAAAAGTTTGCTGCCTCCTACTTTAGTTTTTATAAAGTGGGTGATATTGCTAAGTGTTAGTTTGTAACATGCTTTTAAAAAAATCCCAGATTGTTTTTATTTGACGTTTGAATTCACTTGTGTTTTCTGCATTAAGCATCTCACTGCAAAGAGGCTAGATGAACTGCATTTTCCTGCTTTGTCTTAACAATTAAAATTAAAAAAAAATTCCGGAATAGTAGATGCTTGAAGATGATGATGGTAATGGTGGTGGTGAGGATGTTTAACACCATGTATTGATCACCATGTACTGGATAGTTTTCTAATACTTTCTGTGTATTAAGTTATTTTATAACCTGTAGCAGCTCTGTGGTACACATACTGTTTTCCTTTTTTAGAGATGAGGAAACTGAGCACAGAAAAGTTACTCAAGTTTATCATCTAGTAGATGGTAGAGTTGATGTTTAAATCTATGTAGTCTGGTTTTAGGATCCAGGCCCTCAATATGCTATAAGAGCCTTTCCTTGTAGTATTGCTCCAGGTGGAAAGGATAACAATCCAGAAGTATATAATGTAAAATTTCTACTTTTGCTCTGCTTTCCAGTCTTAATCTATGAAAACCACTGTTAACAATTTGATACAGAACTCTCCACCTCTATTTTTGTATACAAATTTTGTTTATAAGTCTATCTGAATATACGATTTTACAAAAATTAATAGACATTTTTAGAGCAGTTTATTTTTAAAGATTTATTTATGCATACAAGAGCTGGGGTGTAGGCCAGAGGTGCAGGGGCCAGAGACAGAGTGGGGAGCAGAACAGGCAGATCTACTGAAATACACTGCTGAGGGGAGAAGTGGGCGAGACAGGAGAGGTCTGCTGCGCCATGTGGAGTCACCTCCCTGGCAGGCTGGGGAATCTAACTCGATAGCTTGCTAGCACTGTCTTTAACCTCTGCGCCACCAGGGAGGCCCTAGAGCAGTTTAGATTTACAGAATTGGTGCAGATAGTACAGAAAATTTCCAGATCAGTTTTTCCCTTCGCCTGTTAATAATGTCTTACTTTAATGTGTTACTAGATTGATGGACTGATATTGGTACATTATTACTAATTAAAATCTCAGTTTATATTAGGACTCTTTTTGTGTGTGTGTTGTAGAGTTTTGAAAAAAAAAGGTGGGGTCAAACCAATCATTCAGCGTTGGGGTTTTTTTTTTTGGTGGTAGTTTTTAAAATACAGTGTTTCTAGGGCCTCCCCTGGTGGCTCAGCGGTTGAGCGCTGGGCTGCGAGGCTGCCCGCAGCCTCTGCAGCTCCGGTTCATTCCCTGGCTGCAGGGCGAGGGTCCCACAAAAAAAAAAGTGTTTCTAGACTTTTTCGTGCAAATAAATATTCTTCGTTCAGTAATTTTCATACCAATGACACGAATTTAACATTCTCTTTGGAATGGAAAACTTGCCTAATAGTTTCTTCTTTCTTTTTTCAGAAGGGTCTCTCTTAGTGTCAGCTGCTTTTATCTGAAAGTACACTAGGGTTTTCTCCTGGATGTAAAGGGCTCTCCATATTCTGCACTCTTTTTTTTTTTTTTAAGATTTATTTATTTATTCATTCATTCATTTATTTATACATACAAGCACTGGGTACAGTCAGAAGCGCGGGAGGGTGAGAGAATTCACCAGAGCCAGAGCAGGGAGCAGAGCAGGCAGAAGGACCAAAGTACACTGCTGAGGGGAGCATTGGGCGGCAGGAGAGGTCTGCGTGGCGGGGGAGCAGCCAGGGATCGAACTGGCGCTGCAGAGGCTGCGGGCAGCTTTACAACCCAGCGCTCAACCGCTGCGCCACCGGGGAGGCCAATATTCTGCACTTTTGATTTTAACTGGGCCCTTGTAGTTTTACCCTGGCATTCTTTCTGTAACTTCTAGGATTCAGTATTCAGAAGAACTGAATCATAGTTCTGGCTGATAATAGCACATTCTTATGTTTGTGTGTTTTAGGATGTTTTCCAGTCATGGCTAGAGGACATTGAGCTGCTGTCTCTTTCATAGTTGATTCTTATTGACATGGCGTCCTTGGAGTCATGAGCAATGACTGAATGATCTCTAGGACTACTAGGTGATGACATGCTTGTGCAGCAAACAGAAGGAGCTTTGTTACATCTCTTTGGTGCTCTGGCAGAAGCCTTTGCACAAAGGGATAGAAGTTAGAAAAGCCCATGCATCCCCACCAGTCATCCTCACTTCAAACCTTGCCTTAGAGCTCTCTAGCCACTTTAAAAGTCTTTCTGCAACATCTTGGGATCATGAATCAAATGGATAGCTGAAAAGTTAAACACCTGTTTTGGACTTGTTTCTTGATCATGTTAACCTTTTTAATCTTTTCTTGTACTTGGAGCCTCTCTCTTCCCTGTGACCCACTGTGCTACCATTATGAGTTGCTGTCCTGTTTTTCTTCATCTTTCCGAGGAGGAATGTAATGGCAGTAACTAATATTTTGGTGACCTTAGAAAGAAGTATGCAGTTGTGATAACATTAACAGTTTTGGCATTATTCCAGATGTTTCTTCTGTAGAGTTGTCATCACTTCCAAAGATATCCTTGCTGCAGTTACATTTCTGTCCCTTAACGTGTATGTGAAATTCTGCAGTACTAACTGAAAGGTCCATGCAGCAGGCCGGAATGCAAAAGCCTACCTGGAAGCCCACCTG